TGGAAAAATTACAAGAATTAATTTGAAAAAACTTTTGAAAATAGGGGATTCAATAGCAAATTCAATGATTTGAGGGACTAGTTTTAAGATTGTTGGATTTTTTGGTCAAAACTGTTTTTCAAAATGAGTTTTCAAACTATACATATATTAACTACAAGTACTTTTCATAAATGCTTAGTAGCCTAGTGGAAAGTTTATGTTTTGGTGTTTCAAAAGGTCCCTTGTTCGAGGCTTGAGTTTTATTTGAATTAATCCCTCATAAGTTCTAGTGGGTCGTGGGTCGTGAGACGTGAACCAATGGGCCGGAGATCGGGGCTAATCGGGACGAGATGGCGCTGTTTGGCGCTACGTTGGCTGCCACTATGGTCGCCTCGCAGGCTGCTTCGCAGCATGCGGACGAGCTACGTATTCGCACGAGGGCGACCCTAGCGTTCTCATAGTTTGACAAGGTTTGCTCGTTCGACAAGGTTCGCCTGTTTGACGATGTTCGTTCGTTCGACGAGGTTCATCTGTCATACGAGGTTCGCCTGTTTGACGATGTTCGTTCGTTCGATGAGGTTCGTCTGTCATACGAGGTTCGCTTGTTTGACGAGGTTCGTCTGTCATACGAGGTTCGCCTGTTTGACGAGGTTCGCTCGATCGACGAGGTTCGTATGTCATACGAAGTTCACCTGTTTGACTATGTTCGCTCGTTCGACGAGGTTTGACTATGTTCGCTCGTTCGACGAGGTTTGTCTGTCATACGAGGTTCGTCTGTTTGATGACGTTCGTTTGTCAAACGAGGTTCGTCTGATTTGCTGAGACGTGACCCTCGCGTTTCGTAGCAACGCGTTCATCGATTGTCTCGTATTCAGCAGTTACTGCATACAGCAGTTACAACAGCATTAAGAGCAATTTAATGTATTGATATTACAATCTTAATTGTCATTAAGAATTGTAACGGTCACATTAATTGCTAGTGACTCTTGAGCTGGCCTTAGAGGCCTATAAATAGTGTCCTTGGACAGCTCTTGGTTGCTGCTGAAAACTCTCTCGCGAGCGTGGAATACGAACGTCGATATAGAATACGAACGTCGGTATACACACGCGAGCTTGGAAAACGAACGTCGGATCGACGTTGTTGTTGTTGTTGTTGTGCTGCTGCTGTAGAAATTGTGCCCGCAGGAACCCTGAAACCGAAAGGTTTTTTGAACCGAAAGGTTCTGAGATCGAGGAGATCTTTTGTCTTGACCGAAATGTCTTATAGTTCAAGGAGATCTTGACAGTACTGGGTTGGTACACACTAGAGTACTGTACTGTTGTTCATGGAAGCAGTTTGGCATTGGGATCCTTGCACCGGAGTAGGTCAAATATTGCTTTAAGCACAGCGTTTCACAAACGTACAACAGTTAATTAAAAAAATTAAAATAACAGCACGTCATCCTTCACTGTTTAAATCCAGATTTAACTATAATTTCCAACAAAGATAACTTAAGAACTAGTACCAATTTCATTACAAACTAATTTCAAAGCATGAAGTTTACGATATTTAAATTGAAAAAACTAAACTTGTATATAATTTAGGGGTTTTTTACATATATATACCCCTCAAATCTTCAACATTTGCAAAATTACACCTTAAATCTTGATATTTGTAAAATTGCCCCCTCAAAACTAGCATATTTGGTCTTTCTACCGCTCCAACTTAAGAATGTTGCTTTTTAAACAAGGCAACACCAAAATTCCCAATAATTTTCAATAGGTTTGAAATAATTTCTCATTTAAAAACTAAAATTGGTATGTGAAAGGGGTAAGAAAAAATCAACATGAGAGAATTGGGGGGTAATTTTGCAAATACCAAGATTTGGAGGTAATTCTGAAAATATGGAAGATTCGAGGGGTACATATGCAAAATAATTGAGTGTAGTAGTGTGAGAGTAGTTTCGAAAGTATAGTCTAGTTATACTTTTGACTATTAAAAATGATAAACATCTTTTTTGGGGTTTTAAATCGACGTATTCTGGATAATTAATTTCAAGTTTTAGCCCAAACTTCGGCCAACAAATTGTATTTAGATTTTTAGGCTACAATGTATTTAATTTGCTTGAAGAAGCGAGAAGTTTTCGTTAAAATTACTATTTTCTCCTTCATCAGATAAGGGGCTGTTTGGTTCATGTTTTTTGGGGTAAAAGTGGGGAAAGCTGTCAAAAATGTCAGCTTTTTGACAGCTTTCCACCAAAATCAGCTCTTTAAAAGCTGATTTTAGGGGAAAGCTGCCAAAAAGCTGACATTTTTAGCAGCTTTCCCCACTTTTACCACCCAAAAAAAAGGAACCAAACAGCCCTTAAGAAGCGTTATAAGCCAAAAAGTTATCCTCTTTGTTTTCTCCATGAAGCTTTCATGCTTGACTTTTGTCAGCTTGAAGAATTTACAATATTAACCTTTCAAACGATCCTAAATACTGTTCCTCTTAAGATTCGACAACCACATGCACTTTTACGTAAAAGTATTTGTGACACCTATGTCAAAATTAAAATTGACAATCAATTTACTAAAAATTGAAAACAGGACAACGTGGAGGAACTTCAAAAGTCTTAAAAGGGTAAAGTAGCAAACAGCGTGACTACCAGCTCTCAGCCAAACTCGTCAGTTTTAACGCCATGTATACGTTCTAAAAGCGCTGTAAGTTCGCGCACGTAAATCAAGAAACACGGCGAAAGGAGCCGTACGAAAATGCCAAGGTAAAGTAACTTTCACCCGGAAGCCTACGGCTGTCGTCGATCCAGACGTCAGCGTTCAAGATTTATTAATTAAAAAAGGAAAGGAAAGGAAAGGAAAAGAAGGGGAGAGAGAGAGAGAGAGGCAGTGGCGTTTTGGTAAATAACCTGAAGCGGGAGAGGTCGGTGGCAAGAACTGGCCGGCGCTAAAGTAGGCCTCCGACCGCCCGCGAGCTTGCCGCAGACGTCGCGACTCGCTCATGCAAAACGCCGAATCCGCTCCAGTTGCCCGGATCCGCAACGTAAGTGCGGAGCCAGCCCGAGAACGCCATCGACCCTGTACTCCTCGAAGCCCTGCCCTCGACCGGGTTGCCCAGCCGTCGGCCGGGTGACGACGAAAGGCGAAGACGAGGAGGATGAGGAGGGCGGCGATGAGGGCGGCCATGGCGAAGAGGTAGGCGGCGAGGAGGGGCTGGCGGTTCCAGTAGGGCGCGCGACGAAGCGCGAGGGAGACGAGGAGGAGGAGGATGCCGAGGAGGAGGAGGGGCCAGCGGGCCAGGTGGAGCAGGCGGCGTCGGCGCGGGTGGAGATCCAGACGCCGGCGGCGATTATGGGAGCGGAGAAGACGAGGGAGAGAAGTTCAGGACCGCGATTATGTGTTGGCTCACCGCCATTTATTTATTTAGTTTGTTAGTCTGTCGATGGACGGAGGAGGGGGGGTGGAGGGAATTTTGGGTGGGGGGCGTTATGAGGAGAGTGAGGATCTGGTGGGTGGGAGTACTGTTACTGTCTGGCGGTGATTTTTTTTTTTTTTAAAAGGGTAGGGGGAGAGTGCGACTGGGAATGGATGGTTCTTGGTGGGCGATTTTGTCAGTTTGTGTCGTGGGCTCGCCTCGGTGGGCCCGGGGGGAGGGGGTAAACCATGTATGGCACTTTGATACCTTACTTGCGCCTTCACTTCCTACTGCTAATTTCAACCTTGCACCGCACTTGCACATACCATAAAAAAAAATTGCATCTTAGTCATTTTTATTATGCGAACGTAAAAAGTTTGGGTATTAAGATATTTTTTTAAGGGAAAATTGCTTCTAGACCCCAAATTTGACTGGAGGGGTCTGGACGTAATTTAAAAAAAAAAAAGGGGACTGCAGCACATTAGAGAAAGTAAGAGGAGCTGCAGCACAATAGAAATTGAGTTTTGAGGTCTTGAAGTAATTTTTCCTTTTTTTTATCAGGACATATAATCCAAACACGTATGCCACACCAATAATAGAAAAGATTGGAGCGTCAAAGCTCCTCCATCAATTACAAATAGAAAGATTATTGGAAACCACCGCGAGCATCTACTGAACATCAACCCTTATTATGTACCCTCATTTAGACGCTAAATTTGCAGTCAGGACCTACTTTTGGAGCAAAATTCGAATTTATCATTCACCTTTCTTTCTTTCTTTTTTTTAATTTAATCTTGTGCTCTTTGGTGTAGGGGGAGGTAGGGCGATATGCTTAAAATTCGACGTTGTCGCCCACCAATGAATTGAAGACAACATGGCGGTGGGTGAGAATGAGATTCTTGTTCCCAAAGACACGCCAACCCAAAAAGAGATGCTCGAATTATATTATGGCTCCTACTTGAGTCGGAATTGGGCCCAAGTGTCGACAGGGAGGGTCGAAATTGTTGACTTGAAACAGTCTGGGCCTCGCTTTAGGCCCATCAAAGGCCAGTCAAATGACTAATACATCCAATGTTTAGTCGGAAAACTTTAAGGTATCAAAATAAAGATGTAAACTCTCGGGTATTAAGGGGTTGTCTGGTCTATTGCAAAAATAAGTTGCAGCAACAAATATTGCATGCGGCATTTGCTATAGGAAATCAACTTCAAAATATCTTTCTAATCATAAAATATATATAAAATATAAAGTAAGCAATGTGCTTACAAATCCGATTATTCCATTTATATTTAGAGCTCTATTTCCATCCAAGGAAACGGGCCCTAAGTGTTGATAACCTTTTTTTTTTATTTTTTTTCGAAATGGTGGCCCAACAGAAATTCTCGGGTGAGACAGACCCAGACGGTTAAAAGCCCAACTTTTCTCACGGCGGTCGAAATAAACTCTTCGCATCTCACTGGCGTTACATCAAACAGTTGAAGGACAAAAGATCGATCCTCAGAATTTCTCAGTGCCCAGTTTCTTCGATCCCTCGACACGATCTTTGAACTCTTTTTTAAACCTCCCAAGGATCAGCAATGGCGATCTTGTATAGTATTCTACTGCACGTCTCGACTCTGGTATCCTCAAGTTCCTATCCTCTTCATCGCATTACAATTATCATTCATTTTATCATTAATACGTTGTTTCTATCTCTGAAAGACCGAAGGTTCATGATTATATCTCGGGATTCGTTAATAAAATAGTTAATTAATTTAGTGGTGAATTTGGGTAGGAAATGGATTTTTAGGCATTATTCTACCAGGATACAACAAAGCATTGGAGCTGACAAGCATCAATCTTGAGATTGCCCCCATATTTAGAAAGTTTTGAACTTTTGATTTGAGATATTTAGAGTGAGTGTGTGTGTGTGTGTGTGTGTAATTGGATAATGTCAAACATATACTAGTATCTTTTATACCGAGGGTGTTTTTAAAAAGTTTTCGGCATTCATGTAAGCACAACCGTATACTTGTTTATAGAGATTTTAATTCTTTGAAATGCAAAGGGATAATCATAACTAAGAGCTAGTTTTCTGGAAAATTGGGATAAAGGCTTTCTTCTTGTTGCTGTAGTTGTTATCTGAAATGGTGAGAGACTGAACAAGTGGCAACCAATGGTCACAAGGCTACATGTTTATCTAGTTCAAGATCCAGCAAGCAACTTAATATGAATCTTTGATATTCACAACGTGTAGGTGACTAGAGGTCAAGATGGCTACACCAGTTTGTAGCATTAAACTACCTTGCTACTTCAATTAGTCCAACTACTTTTAATATTTTGAAGCTTAGCTAACAAAACTCAAGAAGGTCTAAGTAAATTTTCTTTTCTTCTTAGAGTTTAATAGTTTTCCGGAACCTGTAACTAGTTCATTATCCGCATCTTTGTCTTGGAAATTGTTGGTTGACGTATATTGGCTTCCTCATTGGGCTTTATGAAATATCTGAATAGCTTTACTAGTCTAATCATATTCCAACTCTTGATTTCTGCAGCTTCACTCACCTGTAGTTTTAACAATTGGGAGTGAGAGGAGAGAATTCATACTCTCATCATCTTGACTCTTATGTAAGGAAATTTCTTCTGCACTTTTAAACAGGATGCTGGGTGGCATCCTGCTTATTCGCTGCTCTGGTATGTATCCTATACCTTATCACTGCCTTTGAACTTCAGCTTCTCTCTTTATTCCTGTGTCTACTCTATGCTGATTAGTGTTTCTGTCATGGACAGTTAACTTTCTATACCCTTGCCTTCTTTGAGAAGTTGAACGTAGACAGCAATGCCTCAATGAGCAGGTGAAATACATTTACATCTAGGCACTTTATAACCTGTCTGATGGTTCCATCAGACAATCATGACCTATAACTTGTCCAATGCCAAAGATTCTGATATGCTAATACTTCCTACAACGTGTTTGAGGGTTTAATAATAATATTGTACTCCCATTGCTTTTGTGTGTGTTGGTTTTTCTTATTGTACTTACAAGTTTCAACTTAAAGATTAATGTGTAGACTTTGGCCAATAACTCATGCAGTTTGCTTGACCATACTGTCAATCACTAATCTGACTAAGTCCATGCCAATGGTTGCATTCTCTGTTTGGCATGTAAATCCTAGAGGGAAGGAACAGTCAAGTAATCATATTGTTAAATGTGTTACCCTTGCTTTCTGTTTTATGTGAAAGTGACTGAAAATTTATCCATATTTTGTGGAAGTACTAAATTCTACTAGATGTATTGATTTATGTTACATCTATGGTGATTTCAGGGTCTGTTCATGCCCGTTCTCCTTTTAGGTATCTTTGTGCATGTGTTTATTTATATGTAGAGTATCATTTAAGTTGATGCTTTCTTATCCCTTATATCACATTTCTTTATTATTTTCCTAGGCGTAAGACTACAAAATTATACCCTCAACCCTCACAACTTTGGGGTTTCGGTACAGTGATAGTGTCCTTTGACATGATATTATGTGACCCAGGTTCGAATATAAAATTACAATCCTCAACCCTCACCACAACTTTAGAGTTCTGATGTAGTGGCAGGGTCCTTTGACACTAGTGAAGGACTTAATCACCTGTCAACTTGTGTATAAATTTGTTAGTGATTAGGCTGTCCCTCACAACCTTACAGGCATCCTGGATAATTTTGTTCACCAAAACCTAGACCGTGGATTCTTAATTTGTGTACAGGTTCACCTGTTTGCACTATTTAATGGCTATTTGGTACCTGCAGTTTTTTCCAATTTGTGCAATCCAAATATACCAATGTCTGCTTCTTATTACTGAATGGACCTCTACCCATGACCCTTAATTGAGGAATGAATGAGGTGGATTCAGATCCTGTGCCTACTATTTATTTCTATAATGCAACCTATGTTTGGCCATGAAAGCTTTTGTTATACAAGAGTTCTAAGTTTCACTATGATGAGGCACCTGTTAGAAAGATTTTTTGGCTTAGTTATGAAGACATTTCACACAGACTCAGGATACACTGGTTTCCGATCTCCACCTGAAGATGATGGAACAATTATTTTATAAGATAATGAGAAACAAAGAGAATTGCAGGATGTTGTATGTGCATAAAATATAATTAACATGGATATGAAGGTCAGTTTTCAAATTCTTCCTCTGTTTTAAAGTCCCTCTAACAATTACACCAAAACTCCAAAGTTATGGTGCGGGTTGAGGGTTATATTTTTATATTCTAACATATGTCCCCACAGATGGACAACCCTTTCATGGGTAGAAACTTGGACTCATGTAGCGGTATCAATTTTTTTAAAATTATATAGAAATTTGTGGCTAGAAAGTTTCGAACCTGGGCTGCTCTGGTACCACGTTAAATGATCCAACCATCTCACCAAAGTTAGGCCATTTGTTGGGGAGACATCTGGTGCAACCTAGAGTTGATGGGCATTAGATAGTGGCTAGGAACCCATTTAACCCCAAAAGCTTAAGCTATTAGGTATTGTCCTTAACCTATTTTAACTCATAACTCTTCCATTTTTTCCAATGTAGGAGTATACTCACACATGAATATCCAACAATCTTCCCTTCATTTGCGAGTATAGTTCAATCTTTCACGTGATTAACTAGCTTGGTCTGAACCGACAATTATGCATTGTGTCACATAACTATCAAACATCTGTCGGATCTTCCACCACTTGTAGGCTAACCAGACCATATAACTCCTACAGACATCCTGGGTTGACTAGATCTAACTCTGATCTTCCTGACATTTAGTCATCCTTCCAACACCTTCGGAGCCTTTGGACTTCACATCAGACTTTACTTTATACTTGGTCCACAACCTTAGCTCCGATATCATCTTAAAGTCCCTCTAATTATTACACCAAAACTCTAAAGTTTGGTAAGGGTTTAGCATTATATTTTTATATTTTAACACTCTAAACTAGGCACTTCTTCAATGCAAGAGAGAAAGTGCACTTCCCATGCATGGTTGGATGTTATCCATGAAAAGTTGAAGAATGAGAATATGCTGATTCTTAGTGAAGTATGGACTGGGACCATGATCTTGTTGCTAGCCATTTCGACCTGCTAACTAAATAAACACTTGATCCAAAGTCCTCATTGAGGTTTTCTTGCCAGTGCTGCCCCATGATTGTATTATTGAAGGTTAATTCGATTTGTGCTCACATCTAAGAGGTACACTCATTGAGTGTGCAGAGGTGTTGGGTTGCTTTGCTTAACTATTTATTCATGTAAAACTATGTTTACTAGGACTTATGTCTATTGTAGTTTTGGAGAAGTAATGTACTTTTATCTCTTTTCTATCTCGGTGTACCTTTAACAATACTATTCCCTTGTCCTAAAACTATGAATTAGCAATGAGGGAAATTTTAGTGAGGAATATATTTTCAGGTGTTTTGATGAAACTCTCACTTTCAGAAACACAGCAACAAGGACATTATTGCTTCTGCACAATGCACAAGCTTTCTTTCTGCAATCCTTAAGAGGTATGTTTGTCAAGCCACTGAAAGCATTTACTGTTGATTAGGATACCAAGCATGCATGCACATGAAAAATGTTAGTATTTATTTTGGATAAAAATACCAAAGATGCATGTGCATGTACCTCCCCCCCCCCCCCCTCCCCCAAACTCCAAAAGAGAAAAAAAAACATCCTCCAAAAGAAACCCCAAACATCCCAACCACCTAAAATTGAGAGAGAAAACAATAAAAAATAAAAAATAAAGTAAACACTGATTATTTCTTCTTTGCTGTTGTGTGTTAAAGGTCTGATATTTACGTATTTTGATTTGATCATTTCATTTTGCCATTTGTCTGTGTGAAAAGGACTCGAACATTGTACTCTCACTGCTTTGGCTAATCATCACCACCACTAGTTCAATTCAACACCAATAAAAGCCATTATTTTCAGTAATAAAAAATTGCTAATGATAATATTTGCAACTAGTCATCTTGAATTATACAAGAGGACTAACAAGAATATTCACATAAATTAAATGTCTCTTGATTCTCTCTTTCTATTAATGACTGCTCAAGAAAGCAGTAGGAGGCCTTGTGCCAAGAGATGCATTTTATAGGCTGATTACACCATACAGTGATTTCAGAACTAAGAAAAATAATCCATAAAAGATCTAGAAAATTGGAAAATAGGCAAGCGAAGTAAATTTTGAATTGAATATAAAGGCACATAATTATGTGTGATATTCTACCAAAATTCTTGAATTTTGGAAGGAAAAGGGAGGAGGGGGGAGGGGACACTCAAAACTTAGATCCTTCTTTTATCTTAGTTTTGAAAGAAATTGAAGAAAGGGAGTTTATTTTACAGGCTGATCATACCATACAGTGATTTCATAACTAAGAAAAATAATCCGTAAAAGATCTAAAAATTTGGAAAATAGAGAAGCAAAGTGAATTTTGAATTGAGTATAAAGGCACATAATTATGCGTGATATTCTACCAAAATTCTTGAATTTTGGGAGGAAAAGGGGGGAGGGGAAAGGGGAAATTCAAAATGTAGACCCTACTTTATCTGAGTTTTGAAGAAATTGAAGAAATTGTTTATTTTGTAAGTTAAATGCCAGGATTCGGTCTGGAAACCTGGCTAATAAGCCTTCAGCAGTCCACTTGGTCACACATGTGGTATATAATGAAGATAAGGCTTCGTATGCAGAAAACATTGGCGCATATACTGTATATGTGGTCATATATGGGCATTTCAGTGAAGCCAGGTATTTCAGTTTTGGGAACAATTTGGTCAAAAGTAAACCGTAATATAGGTGCTCTAAAAAATCTTCATTCTTATATAGAATGGTATCCTAGAAACTTGATTGCTTTGATGATTGCAGGACATTCATTTGTCTACGAGCATGATGTATCTTTGAATTATGATACCCCACACAGTCAGCTATAGAAGTGGAAGAAGTCTGAAAGTCAACATCAGTTTAAAGAGTCTAAACCCTGCTTAAACCATACAAAATCAGATTTTTTTAGCGCCTGCTATCATTTGCCTTTGCAATGTTAATGGTTCATGTTAATATAGTTGGCAGAGAAAAAACAGCCCTAGGAGGGAATTCAAAAGTTCACCAGCTAATTGCTTCGGATTGTGTTCTATCTCTGATGGCAGTGCTCGTTTAAGTGGATGTTTCCAAACCGTCCCATGACTCAATTCAGCTAAGTGTAGGTTGTAGACCACCACCCATCAACATCTAGATCTGTCTAACGCTTTTTAAAACACAATTATGTGACTCATAATATATATAATTGTGTTGTTATTCATATGTGAGAGAACCTGAGTTCAGTAAATCGGTCGATTAAAATTATCTTATGCCGAAAGGGGTATAACATGTTTCATCTTATACACATTTTTAAAGTGATAACTTTTTACAATACTTCTAAATGTCTGACGTGTATAAACATGGGTGTCATGTCCTGTGTCAGGACACATCTAGATAGAAATGTCCTACATATGCTTGGATTTTTGTTTTATTGCGATGAGCAGTTTATAAGGCCTTTGAGCATGTAAGGCTGATGTTAATCCCCTCTTTTAATGCTGGAATGGAGCATAACTTGATGGTGAGCCAGGTTGCAGGGGTAGGGGTACGGGTACGGGTACGGGTACGGGACACAGGAAATTTGTAAAAAGTAGGGTACGGGGACACAGCTATATATACGCATATTATGTATATTTTATATGTATTGAAATTAATAATTTACATAAGATCAATATTGTTTTTTCATGTACATAATATCAATATATAAGAAATAGATGTGTAGAATATACATCCAAGAAGTTTATGAGGAGTGTTTTAAATTAAAACATGTATTATCTAATTGAGTATACACCTGAATAAACATATGCATATGTTCAAGAAGTGTCCAAGAGATTTGTGTACTGGTATGGGTATGGGCACGTGTCAAGTATGGGCATGGCTTCCTAATAGAAGTTTCTAGGTAACATAGATGGTGAGAGTCTGCAATACATTATTAACATTATTAGCCAACCATCCTTCATGTTCCTACTAACATTTTCCTCATGAAATATTCTAGCTTATCTGATGATTCTCATTCAAAATTATTCAACTACAGAGCATGATCATAAATTTTAATTGGTACTTATTTGACAGCTATGTGCGTTATAAGGTGAAGTTTAGGGAGTTTGGTGCATGTAATGGAGTTTCAATTTTGTGAGGACGTTTGCTGTTTGAATATGTTTGAAAGTATCTGACTTTTTGAAGCCAAAAACAGGAAAGATAAATGATTCCTGACACTAATATAACTTTTTTTGTTTAAAAAAACACTTCCTTGCGAAACATGAATGATCTGTAGATGATTTTTATCCTGCTGTGTCTTTGTCGACAAATTGTGTCCTTGTCATTTAGGATCCGTTCTCTCTCCTGCATGACCGATCTTGGCTGTTCCCTGATGACTATAGATCATTAAAGAAAACTTTTTTTTTTCACGCCTTGTCAACTTATGGCTCATTGACCTGTCAATTTAGAATGATACTGTGTAGTTCATTTTTGCTTGCTTTTCTCTTTTCAATCATATAATAGATTAATTTCAGCAATCTCTTAGTTCAAAAGGTTCTGAAAGATTGATCAAGAATGATGACATGGTAAATAGGGGTTGCTGGATTGGTATGAAGGCCCGAGTTGAGGTGAACTTGGCATCTCTTTTTCTAGGGCTAAATTACCAAATTGGTATCTTCCGTAGGACACTCATGAAGATTTGGTATTTTTTTAGTTTCTCCAGCAATATTAAGGTATTAATATCAAATTTCCACTGCGGTTAAATAGCCAAATTGATGTATTTAGTATGACCACTTTCAGACTGATATTTTAATCGTTGCAAAATTCATTATTGATACCTTAGTGTTGCCGAAGAAACTGAAAATTCCAATTTAGAAAATTTGTCCTACTAAAAATCCCAGTCATAAATTTTGAAACTGAAAATACCTTAATCTTGTTGGAGAAACTAAAAATTCCGAATTGTAGTTTTCTAGGCCCAAAGAAATATTATTTCTGTGAATTTCACTAGAATGTTCTAACTAGCAACATTTCATGTTCCTACTGGTACCAAGACCTTCATAATATTCATATCATATCCCACAAAATCGAGGTAATTTCGGCTAAGAAATTTAAACAGGTCTGCTTCATCTTTGATGCAGTGCAATTTATAAACTGAACAGAGATCCACGACCCATGTCAAATTGTAGTTTTGTGAAATCAGATGACTATTCAGATTCTAGCAAACCTGAGATCTCCTACAAGAGTGATGTACACTGTTTACGGACTAAAAAGCTATTCATGGGGTGTTTTTAGTACAGTTGTGTGACGAGATGTTGTATATATACACATACATACATACATGTGTGTGTGTGTGTGTGTGTATATATATATATATATATATATATATATATATATATATATATATATATATATATATATATATTTGCAGAATAAGACCAATTCTGTTTTTATAAGCTGCAAATCTTGAAGTCCGCCTAGAAATAGGAATAAGTTATGTGATTACAGTTTTAAATATTTTACGAGGAGGAATTTGAAAAGCCTAAACCTGTACTTGACTGATAGGATATACGTTGAGCCAGAGAGTTTGTTCAATAACCATAATTTTCTATGGACTGTATCCATTTCTACAATCACATCAAGCTTCTGCATGCAGTGTAATTGTAGAGTTAGTAATTACGAAGGGAACCTGGAGTTAAAAGATACTACTGAAATATGAGTTAAGTCGGGAGTTGGGTATGGAAGTGGAGCTAGTGTTAGGATTTCCAGGCTTTTACTATAATCTGATTTTATTATAGTGATGATTTATATATAGCTGAGTTGCCAGAAATACAGAACCTGAGCTATCTTCTTTTGGACCCCATGCTGATTGATGATTGCCCCTGATGTGTCATCCTTGACATCCACTTGGACCACTTTTATCTACTACATATCCAAAAAAGATATGTATGCGTGCATTATGGAATTTAAATTTAAACCACAGGTTCTACTCTATGTTTTGGATGAACCTGATAAATTGAGCAAGCAAGATGGACCTTGAACAGGGGATCAGGCTGAGAAGCCTTCTACCTTTGTACAGTCATACATTCTATATGGTCAGACTCGTACTATAGACGCAAATCTTTCCTTCGCCATGATATAGACATTGAAACTTTGTAGGAACCCACTTGTCAAACGTTGAGTTAACCCCAATCATAAGCATAATGGTTTGTTATTCCATTGCCCCTAAATTTTGTCAGTGTCTTTTAGTTGAAATCCCTACCAAAATCTATGTGCTTAATATCAATACCTTAATCATCTTGCTTTCTTTTGTACGCACTTCAGTCACTGCCTAATCTTTCAACATTGCTTGTTCTTGCCATGGAAGGATGGTGACTTTGTTCCTTTGACGTGTATTTTGGGACCTTCACTGTCAGTATTTTGCGTGTTAAATTATTGACTGCATTTGGACTTTACTTCGTTGTAGTGAGAACAGTGGAATATCAGAAACAATGTTTTTTTAACGAAAAAACAGTGTTTTATTTTATAATTTTTGGTGCTCTATGTATGCTTGACTTGCTCAGCTGAAGCTTATTATTGTCTTCTTAATTATTCTGGTTCATGTTGATCCCCAAGCTTTAGTTTGCAAGTCACTGAATTTATTAGCAACAATTATTTCATATATAGCGCAGTTATCGGAACTGCAGAATTTGAACTATATTATTTTGAATCTGATGTAGTTGCTGATTATTCCTGCTATATTATTCTCACTTAAATTTTATCAGAACCTTCAATTTGAAAGCCCGTAAAGAAGTTCATATGATTAGTATCAGAAACTTCATCATTTATCCTTTACATGCTTCTGGATACTTTGCGTTGTCTCTGCCTAAGCTATTGAAATAACTTTACTGTTTCCTGTCTGAAGTGATTCTGTTCTTCCATCATATTTCTAAATTTTATTATCTTCCAGGTTAAGTTGCTGATCAAATTTTAAGTTCCTGTTTATAATGAGAACATAACAGATAGGATTAACATCGAAAACTTTATGATTTATCCATTCATATGCTTGTATTTAGATGCTTTATTCTCTCACGTCCCTAGATCTTACAGCAACTTCTATTTTCTGCCCTTTGGTTTTAGTTTTTATTAATCATATTTTCTGAAACTTTACCATCAGCTTTGTTGCACAGATATGGGTGCAAGTGCGGGTATGGACACAGACATGGGTGCAGATACCGGACACAACAAATATGTAAAAGGTAGGATATGGGGACACGGCTATATATATACATATTATATAATAATAAATATGAGGTCGATATTGTTTTTCATTCACAATTTATGAGAACTAAAATCCATACACTATTTTTATGTTTCTTTTATTGAGTAGGTTATAATTTGGAAAACTGCTTGTTTTTAAATAGATATTTAAATAACCGTTTAAAATCATATTTATGAACTAGGTATACTTATGAACTAGGTATGTGCTAAAATGAACCCATCCAAGGCCCAACGAGAACACCAATTTGAGTATGTACACATTCAAGAAGTGTCCAAGGAGTGTCGGACACGGACGCGGATACGGGAAGTGTCGGACATGGATACGGGAGCCTAGATGAAGTGTCCGGATAACCCATCAGCATCATTTCAGTTAAACTGTTTAGGATATTTGACGTCAGTCCGTAAAACAGTTTGTTTCTTTTAGTTTTAAAAATAATTTGTTGACTATCTTGAGCTGTAACTTGTCCCGTCTATTTAGTCACACTCAGTTCAGGTTGATCCCTGTCTATCTACATAAGAGAATTAAAGTTGCACACGGAGTTGATTTAAGAGAGAAGAGACTAACATCTTCAACGTCATGGATGCAGAACTTTGGTCTCAACTTGCGTCAACTCTTCTGATTATTATATGATAATGAATTGACTTTCCAGGTTTTTAGGATTATCAGCAATGATAATTTAATGTAATCCGAGCTGGCTTGGCTGCAGAACCTGGGTTATCCTGTTTTGATCCTGATACAGATTGATGTCATCAATATCATTCATTCTTATCAACAAATCTTCAGAAAAAAAAGGATAGAAAAGTATTGGAATTCAAAATTTAAACCACACTCCCTACTCCTATATTGTAGATAAGCTTGATGTATTAAATAAGTCACATATGCATCTACAGTCATAGATTCTAGTTGATCATACTGTCACTGAAAAGTGTCCCCTTGTCGCAATTCAGACATTGATATTTGTATGGACTTACTCAATGAAAATTGAGTTATACCAGGTGAAAGGTATAATTTTCTTTTTTCTTTTTTATGCCACTAAATTTTATCAATCGATTAATGCTAAATCCTTAAGAAGTTCTTATGCTTAAAATAATTAGCTCGATCGTTAATCCATGTAAATGTTTGTTTCTGGACGCTTGTGTAATCAGTGTGTAATCTATTGAAGTAACTCTCTTTTTCTGTCTGAAAACTTTTTAGTCTTGGTACCTTTTCTGTTAAATTGTTGACTTGAGAGCACCAGAAATAGCGCCCCCCCTTTGTTGATACTCTGTGTAATCTTGACTGCATGAACTTACTTATCTCTTGATCATTCACGGTTCATGTTGATGGTTATTTGGTTGCAAGTGACTGTATGAAACCTTAATGATGATTTTATATAGCTGACTTGCTGGAATTGAAGAATCTTTGTTATATTTTCCTGATGTAGATTGATGATTGTTCTGTATATAATCCATGTCATTTAATCTTATCTACTAAATCTCCTGGAAAAAGAGAAGTAATGAATTTCATAAGTCCTGCATTGTGGATAAACTTGAGAGATTGAGTAAACAATATGGCCCTTATACATTCATACATTCTGGATGATCATAGTATAACTGCAAATCTCTTCCTTGTCACATTGCAGGCATCAAACCTTTTATCGATTCACACATTGAAGTTTGCATGTTGTCACTGAATTTTACCATTATATATAATGAAAAAAAAAACTGAAGAATTTTACGTGCTCTAAAAGTTTAATTTGCCATCTACATGCTTGCTTCTGGATATTTAATGTGATTATTAAACCTTTCCTGTCAGTTTCTTCTCTGTTAAATTGTTAAACTCCATTTGAGTCACCTTCCTCAAAGCTGTGTATTCCCTTTTTTTCAAACATAATCTTGATCATATCATCTATGACTTATCTCTCTAATCATTCTCAGTTCATGTTGATCCCAGTCTATTACGTTGTAGAATTTAAGTTGAACACAATTTGATTCAAATGATAAGAGACCGACGTCTTCATTGTCATCAATGGCAAAACTTTGGCCTTAACTTGGAGCAGCCCTTCATGTTATTATATGATCATATACTCTTTCTCTATTGATTGTGACCCATGAGCTCTTTACTGGGCTAAAAGCCATTTACTTGTGTCTGTTTGTTTCAGATAACAATGACACCTCCAATGAAGTTTGGATATGGTTGCCTTGGAGAGCCCTAGTTGTATTTGTGGCTAACTCATCTCTGCAGCAAAAGGGGATAAGGGAACCAAGGTATGTCATAGACTGATCCTTCAATTTCTTCTTCTGATAAAACTCTAGACAAAATAAACCATTAACTATAAGAGCTAGAAGCAAAGCATACGTTCTTTTAGGGCCCACATTATCTTGAAAAGGACTTAGATACAACATTTTTGTAGGGGCTTTTTCTTTGGTGGTTTGATTGTGGTCCCTGATCATAATAACGTAGCTCAATTGTCTTCTTCATCCACCCTGGATCAATTTTGTACTGAATTTATTTGCATTACTAGGGTTAACTGCAGATAGACCTCTAATAGTTTTATTGTTGCAGATAGACCCCCTGACCATAATTGTCTGGAACGTGGAACGCTATAGTCAACCACGAGCAGGATTCAATCGTACTGGATTCACAGTGGCATAACGGGGCGTACCGGATTCCCAGTGGCATACAGACCCGTTCACCAACTCTAGCGACCCGATTTAGATTTAAATCAAGTTAAAATTTTGAAAAGAATAACTCTTTTTCAATAGAATAAACAACAAAAAAGTGATTCTCAATGTTCTTTTACCATTTCTGATATCAACTAGCATACTCCTTAAATTTGACTCTTGCGAACGAACCTTTGATTCCTGCATTTAAGGTCCAAACCTAAAACATACCACGTTCCTTAGCATATTGTGCAAGCCTACCCCCTTTACCTGATTCCTAATGAGTGTCGTACCACGCTCCCGTTCCCGTCATGTGAACTGGAATGAACTTGGTTCCATCCAACTAAGCCCCTGGCTGAACTCTGTTGACTTTTTTAGCCTCATAGGAAGAGAAAATTATCTTTTGACAAAGAGACCGCTTGAGGGTAGAAGAGTCAAAAGAAATTCAGAGGTTTCTGCAATTGGGCGATAGTACAATGGTCTATCCACAGTTAACCTTATTCCTGATTATGACTGTAGTGAGTATGCCATGGAGGAGTTGAGCAATTAAGTTGGTTAGCTCAAGCAATCTAGAGGAGTGGCTTGTGATGATGGCATACTCAAGCAATTGAGTAGGCCATTCAAATCGGGTACTTCCTGTGATTCCAGCCAAGATCCCCACTTTTGATATTTGCTTTTAGAAGATTTGTGGCTCTCACATTAAAAGAAAATGATATAGGGTATTTTTTGCTATATAACTTGAATGTTAACACTCTTTTTGATTGATCTCATTACTATGTATTGAGGTGACAAGATTAAGAGAGAATGACTGATCTAGGATGCTGAATTTCATCGCATTGTTCATCGCAAGAAGCCATAGTAGTCTATTTCACGATCTAATTAGGTTGCTGTCATCTTCTAACTATTCTGTTCAAATGAATTCAAAAGTATGCAGATTCTTCATCACCCTTACGCTTCAAGTCTTGCTCTTCTTATTGTGTTGGATTCATATGACATTTTGAGAAATTGGTGGTGGTTGAACTTGCACATGTCACGCTAGTTTCCAAAGGTTAGTTGAAGGTTTAGTTGGCTATTTCTTTAATAACAACTATTTTGTTAGCGGCCTCAACTGATTGTTTAAGTGCATGCAAGTGATGAAGTCAGATTTGGATAACTAACCGGTACTATTATATTTTTAGGACGAAGCCAATGGGAGGAGAGAATCAGAGAGGAGTAATGACGGAGCACGTATCAAGTTGGAAAAACGTAATCAGCGAAGGGATCTTATCTCAAGTAATATTTTCAATTAAGTCCGTCCGCATCCAATCAAATATGGGTGTTTCTTGTGAGGCTTCAGATAACTCTGAACGGTGTGGTGACGGGGATCCTACTACGAATTGGGGATGAGGACTTTGTTGCTTGCTTGCGTGTGGGGCAAGAGTTGGGCGAGCATCTCATTTAAAATCATTAAGGAAATGAAAATTCCGTGCACACGTTTTTGATTTGTACAGTACACGTACCTGAAAAGACCTTTGAAGCCTAGAGTTATTTGAGCTGATATAGAGCACATGTAAAAAGTACATCACCGTGTGATGCCAATTTTATGTTTACCGCCGTTGTTGTCGGATAAAAGTTCGGGTTGGCTTCACAAAACCCTCGTGAAATACACGCGCACCAGCCCCCAATTTCACGGTGTCTCAGCTCCTGAATTTTGAGCTTAAACTTTTCTCAAAGGATCCCCTGCAATTTAGCCATTTGCAAGGGGCAACTAACTGAAATTTCCTCGAGATAAAGGCTCCCAATTTAGCCATTTGCATTTTACAGGCAACGTACACCCCCTCGGGTTTTTTTTTTTTTTTTTTTTCCTCCCCACTTTCTCAAGGACTTCTTAGTCAATTAGACTTCAGGGGTCCCTTGAAAAGGGTTTAGACTTAAGGGGGTTCTTTGTGAAACTTTGCAGCTTAGACCTTAGGAGGAGTTTAATGGAGTAAATAAAGTTTGAGTTTCATGAAAAACGCACCAAAGTTCACGTGTTCTTTGTTTTTTTTGTTTTTCCCCCCTTTTGAAGTTTACCCCATTCACATTGTTACCATAATATGTTCTTTTAAAAGTTTTTATTTTAATTGAGGATTTATTTATTCTAACTAAAGCTGCAAGTTAATAGGAGCTTAATTTAGTTCATTTTGCTTGCAAGCCGACTTGCTGCAAATTTTGACTGCGAGTCAAGAGTCGTGACTGGGAAGATTTTACGACTGCGGTCGCGACTGCAAGTGATCAGTCGTAACAAGAACAAACACCGCAGGTCGACAAAAGCGATGCGGTCCCGTGCGTGTGCGGTCGCGGACGCTCCGATTGGAGTCCATCAAACGACCCCTGAGAAGCTCAAGCGTGAGCGTGAAGGTGGTGGGCTCCGCTGAGACGAGTGTCACTAGGAAACTGAAGGGCCCTTGGTATCTACCAGAAAACTAAGTGTTAACAAACTACGAATAAGCTCGATCCGCTGGTGGGACTTTTATGACTGACAAAGGACTGTACTTCTTTGAAAAATAAAAAGAAAAATTAATTCCTTTTATAAATGATAGGAAAGTTGTCTCTCCAGAGACCAGCGCTAGAAATGACGCGGCAAGTTCCGGTGCGGTGGTGCTGTATTTGATCGAGAGCAAACCGTAAAATAAGAAAAAGTTTAGAAGTTAATTAATCCAAGGGATCTATCAACAACAATGAAACTATAGGGATAGTAGTAACTTCAAATCGAAGATATTGCAGGGTTCTATATGCAACTAATTCAACTATTTTTAAAGCGCACAATCTTTTTCCCCGCCTCTTTTTGTCATTTGTTTTTCTACTTGAAACTTTTCAAAGTTGTAAGTCGTAACAAAGAGAGATGTCGTAGAGCAATTGTCTTCCAACTTTAATTGACCTTTGCGCATCTTTTCTTATAAAAACATGCAAATTGAAACACATAACATGCATGAAAACAACAGGCTAACTATATAAACAAAAGCATTTCTCCGCAATTTTCTATGCAAGGGATCAAAGCAAGAATCAAACGACAACAGAAAGTAGATGGATTCTTTTTCCTCCTATTGAATTTTTCCTTCAACAGATGTCAACAAGCTCCCTTTTTCCTCAAAGGAGCAAAGAAGTGGATGTTGTTGTAGTATTAAGATCTATATGTTGCTTGCAAGCCAATGTATCCAATAAAAGGCTCCCCCATTTCACCAATTGATCATACCTGTTGATTGAAATATCAAATTATTATAGTTATGATCGTGATGGTTGTTATAATTCTCATAAGTAGTTCACCAAACTTATGATCAATGTCAAATGTGAAAGTGATGAGCAAGCTTGCAATCTTCACTTTTTCAAATTTATTTTATTTTTATGATATTTTCATTCGAGTTTTACATTTTATCTACACAACCATTTTCTTCTATCACGATATATTAGAGAGCTAACAACAAAACTTAGAGAGAGAGAGAGTGTGTGTGTGTGAGAGAAAAATGAAGAACCTTGGTACCAAGTTGCTCCATTAAATTTGGTAGTGATGTGGACTAATCTGGCCCCTACATCATTACTCGAAAATAGAGCCCCACCCACTTTTCACCTACTTCAATGTAGATGTAGGGACCGAATCAATCCACATCACTATCAAGTTCAATGGAGCCAAGTTTCTCTATTTTTCTCAATATATATATAAAGTTTCTCTCTCTATATATATATATATATATATATAGAGAGAGAGAGAGAGAGAAATGGGTATGAAAAATAGAGAAACTTGGCTCCATTGAACTTGATATAGTTTTTGTGCACGTGCAATACACGTGATTAAATATCAAAATTATTTATTTTCTTACTATAAAATAAGTCAGATTCATTTTGATTTAAAATCTATAACATGGATTATTACATTTATCATAAATTTTATTTAAATATTTTAAAAAAAATTGTGAAATAGATTTGTGTGTTAAACTAGGATCAATATATTTTTATATACTTGCATACACAACATTATTTTTTTAAATATGTATATATCAAATTTCATGTAACATATTTGTTTATTGGATCAAATCATCGATCTCCAATTTGTTTATTTTAGTCATAAAATACTTCATGTAACATATTTGTTTATTGGATCAAATCATCGATCTCCAATTTGTTTATTTTAGTCATAAAATATAGTGTTAAGTTTGAAAAAAATATCAAATCATCGATCTCCAATTTGTTTATTTTAGTCATAAAATATAGTGTTAAGTTTGAAAAAAATACAATAGTATATTGTTGATGTGTTAATAAAAACATAACCAAATACCTAATATTAAGATGATTTGTATAAGCTCAGCACAGAGCAATTATTTTTCACAATACTGTAAGATATCTTAATTATTGATAGATTTAAAATAAAAAAATAAATACTAAAGATTAATGATAATTCTAGTATAATTTTATATGACAAACGCATTCACATAAGTATATTAAAAATTTTGCGTGAAAATTCCTTCTAAAATTCCTAATTTTACTCAAAAAATTAAGCTTTACTATAAAATATTCAAAAAAAATTATTCTTTATTCCTTCCTGTTTCATATTTAATTGAGCCGAGATCAATCCTTCTCCACCTTTATCTTTATCCCAGACAATTCTACAGTAATGTCTTCATCGTCTCAATCAATTATGATATCAGGCCAATACATAATAAAGAGTAAAAGATATGACAAGAGTCTAGAAATATATTACGATATACTTGGATCAATCAAATTATATTATTACTCATAATTGATATGTATCAGATACAAAACATGTTGATAATTTTAAACAATAAAATAGACTGTATGGGCACTCTAACATAACTTTTTTAGTATAAACAACCCTCAAGATTAATTTTAAAAATCTCTTGGAGCCAGGAATAAACAGCTAACAAGTTTGCAGTGGAAGCTAGTGAAACGTAGTATATTCTTAAGAATTATTAATCTTTACTTAATTTATTTATAATGATAGGATCTTAGTATTAACTAACTACAAAGTATATTACATTATTTTTTTATTGGGCGTTCAAGGTAGGCAGAGAACCCAAGTGAGTCTTCATCGCAATGAATATTATACAATTTAAGTACAAAAAAAGAAGAGTTGATCAATGGTGTAGTTGGTGAGGAGAAACTCTAGTAGCTTAATTTGGATATGTGGATATATTATAGATGGAGATGGAGAAGAGTGGTTTTGAAAACAGTAGGTGTGTGTGGGTAATTAATATGGTTTTTATTTGTGTGATTTTCTTCGTTCATTTTTAATAAATCTGTGGTCTTGTGAATATATATATATATATATAGCTATAGTATTGCTACTCTCTTTTGGTTTTTCTGAAAGAGTTTGGGTGTAAAAAAAATTTTAAATTATCTAATCCGGTTAAAGTAAAATCACATAAGTTAATCCCATATGTGAAATTTATTTTAATCAACACCCATATGTAAGCATTACAATTGGCATTAAGATCTAAGATACGTGTGAGATTCTCTTTGACTTTTATACAAATAGCATATATTTAAATAATAGAAGTATAATTAAACTTTGTGATTTGAAAAAAAGATCAAACATATAATATAATTAATTACTTTAAAATAATCTAACATAATCTAATAAGGGAAAATAGATGAAAGTAATGTGAAAATTGTTGTAATTTTATAATTCATAACTTTTAAACAATCTAATATAATCTAATAAGAAGAAAATAACAAATATACATACTTGTTGAAGGAGATGAAAGTGCTGCGAAAATTATCATAATTTCTTGATCTAAAAAAAAGATCAAACATACAATATAATTAATTGTTTAAAATAATATAATCTAATATAATAAGAAGAAAATAAATATGAAAGTACTGTGAAAATTATTACTATTTCTTAATATGAAAAGATTAAATATATAATATAATTAATTAAGATAATCTAATGTAATCTAATAAGAAAAAATCAACTATTTAAATAATAATAGTATAATTAAACTTTGAAACTAATTATGCACTACCGTGAACTACTTGAATTTTAGTCGTGAGAGATCGTCACGTTGTGTCATCAGATCGCAGTCGTTTGTTTTAATTTTTGTTTTTTATTTTTGAGAATGATTTTATCTCTTTAATTTGTTTGGTGGATTTTGTAGATACTCTGTCCATATTATGTACATTTGTAGGTCTGCACTGCGCCTGGGTTCGATCTTTAGAGTAGACATTATTTTGCCTCGTTAAATTGTTTGATTTATGCATATACGCCCTTCATCTTGTAAACATTTATGAATTTGGCATTTAATAATTTCATTCAGTTTTACATTTCAATTTAAACTATATCATTATCTTCATATCCAATAAGAATTCATCAATTTATCAATTTACTATTACTTAATGAATTAGTATTTGAATTTCAATGGTATTTTTTTCTACCAAAAGATTTTCCCAAACTCGTGCTTTTAAATGTTCCTAGAATAAAAATATTGACATTTAAATGTTAGTTTTAGACCATAAAATTATAATCCTTTATATTCGTCATAATTTTAAAGTTTTGATTTTAAGAGCTACGGGAAGGAAGGAGAAAATGCATTAGAAGACTAAAAGGGGTATAAAGAAAATTGAAAATTTAGTGGTGAGAAAATTAGTTGTAAGTTGTAATTAATACACTTA